ACATTATTTTTCTGGAATAGAGCTCCGGTTGCTGCTGAAAACCCAAAAATAACTCATTTTGGCAACACGATTCTGGGATCAACTGTGTACACAAGGCCTACTTGATGTATGATTGTATTATTTTGAAAGCCAGTTAATTTTTGGTGTTTTTCAAGTTGTTTAGGTTTGGTTGTCATATTTGGGATTTGTTGAAGAAAAGGGGACGGTATGGGGTTGAGGAAGAGGGTGATTGTTTTATTGTTTGTACAGGGTTGAGGAAGACGAAAGCTGTGTGGGTTTTTTTCTTAGAGATAGAGAGAGAGAGAGAGAGAGAGAGAGAGAGAGAGACCTTTTATATTTATTAAATAATTATATTTAATTTTTTCTTAAAAAAAACATCATAAATGGTCCCTGTGGTAGTGAAATGACTAAAATGCCCTTCAGTTAACGGACAAAACTTACGGAGTTAGCAATAATGACTAATTGTCAAAAGTTTTGAAAGCACAGGGACTATCTTTGATGTTTTTAAATCACGGGGACTAAACTTCAGATTTTGGGAAACCACAGGAACCATTTATGATGTTTTTTCATTGAATTATATATTATCGTGGTTGAAAGTGCATATTTAAAGAATTTGTATTTCATTTATAGTTTATTATATAATTTATGCAAAAACATGATTTATAATTTCTTAAATATTCGTATTTTATAGAATTAAAAAAAAAACTGCATTATCACCAACACAATACCTACAGAAAATTGCATCAAATTAAACTCTTTTGTAGGACCTGTGTTTCCCATGTCCTTTTTTCCAACAAACAAGTTTCGTCGGGACTTTGTGGCTAAATGGTGTTTCCTTCTAAATACCAACAAAATTGATTATAGGTAACCATCCAATTTTCTAGTAGTGGGTCATTTTACAAATATAAGAAAATTTGGGTTATTTTTGTTAAGGAACTGTTTCATTAAAAAATAATAATAATAAATCAATCAGATTGGATTGAATCCGACTTTATGCATTATCTTTATTAATGCCGACGGTCGAAGGGCAAGCCTAGAAATCGACGGCCCCATGGAGGAAGATTCTTAGAGTTTATGATATGATACCCTTAAAGATTGTGTTCTCTTATTCCTGTAAGATACAAAGTACAAGTATGAAGGAATGCCATATATATGAGATGGACATCTGCCAAATATAAAAAGAGAGAATTACAAATCTATGCTAATAGTTACTACTACAAATAATATAAAGCAAAGATATGCGGGTGGGGTTTTAATCAATCAATTGTCCCTCTCATCTAACTGTTGAATCTTATTAGCAACGTCTTCCATTTCTGGCCTTTTCTCCACATCCACCTCGCAACATTCCAGCCCGATCTTGATAAGCTTCACCATCTGGCCCTGCGCATTGTCTGTATCCTTCATGTCCTTGTCAAACACCTCCTCCACCGCTTCCCCCTGTATGGACTCCACCCACTTACCCAACTCGCTCCCATACTTACTTGGTTGCCCTTGTGCCAAGCTGTTTGCAGGCAACTTCCCTGTCATTGTCTCGAGTATCAATATCCCTAGGCTCCAAACATCCAACTTCTTGCTGATGCGACCATCTTTAATGTATTCAGGTGCCTTGTAAGCCACCATCATGTTCTGTGCATGTTCCACGTTTACCACAGGGAGCAAGGTGTAATCCATCAACAGGGGTTGCATGGATTTGTCGATGAGTACGTTAGAAGATTTAAGGTTACCATGAACCACTAACAGATTAGGTAATTCTGTGTACAAATAAGCCATACCCTTTACAACTCCTTTTATAATCTTTAAGCGAGTTGGCCAGTTAAGTTCAAGCTTTTCGGTTGTATGTTTTCCTAATGAAACATGATCGTGAAATATAGTATTAGCAATCATCAACATCGTCATGTTATTAATTAAAATGAATTACATATACCATGAAGCTGCCTTTGTAGGCTGCCATTATGTACGAAGTTAAAAACCAAGAGCTTCTCTTCTTTACGATAATAGTATGCTGTAAGAGGAAGCAAGTTAGGGTGTGACAACCTCCCAAGCGTCCTCATATGCTCATGGAACTCCTCCTTCCCGCAGTTGCTCATCTGTCTGAATCTTTTCACAACCAGAGCTTGTCCATCCATCATCACTGCCTTGTAAGCTGACCCAAAGCTTCCATAACCAAGAACCTCTGCGGATGCTCTAAGCAGGTCGTTCAGGTCAAACCTCGGCCCATCTTCCTTCAAGAATGTCAATTTCCCTTGTGCACCCACTATAGATGGAGGCTTCTTAGAATCTAATTGTTGTTCAGTCACCATGACAGATCCCCCTGGACTTGTACAAGTTGAAAATGAAGATCCTTCACTGTAGTCTCTCATGTGATCTATTCGACTCTTACCCAGAAGGTACAACATGAAAAGTGTTGCAATTGCTGTTATTGCTAGCAAAGCTGATATTATCATAACTATGACTGTCAACATGGACATCTTCTTATGGGTTTCATCTGTTGACGAATAAGGATTATAGGAAGCTCCACTTTCATCACATACCGGACTTATCGGTGGCCCACATAATTCATCATTGCCTACATTAGTTCAGATATATGTAATACTAGAAGAACTCAATAGAAATAAATTAAGTAATTAAGTTTGGTAAAGTATTTGATATACCTGTGAAAGAGGAGGCATCAGTAATCTCGTTAAGAAAAGGTGGGATAGGACCCTGTAAATGATTGTTAGAAGCGTTGAATGTGATGAGAGTGTGTGGGAAATCTGGGATGGGGCCCATGAATTGGTTATTCTCTATCCTCAACTCTGTAAGACTCGTAGAAGATGCCAATGATCTGGGTATATCACCGCTAAATTCATTGTATGCCAAGTGCACTTTCTTTAAAGAAGACATACCCACAAAGGCATCATCATCAATATCTCCAGAAAACTTATTTGTGCATATATACAACGCCTTCAATGATCTTAGCTTCCTAAATTCTGGAAACGGCCCTTCAAAGTTGTTGTTCATCAAACTCAACGTCCTCAATTGCCCCAACTGTTGAAGTGAATCCACGTTAATTTCCCCCGATAGTTTCATATTATCAAGTTGGATCCCCCATACATTGCCGTTGTTGCAAATCACCCCAGTCCAAGGTGTTCTTGGTGTTTGTGATCCTGATCCTGATCCTACTTGGGGACATGGACATCTTGATGGATTGTTCCAATTCCCTAGCACCATGTCTCCATTCTCTAATGAACTCTTAAATTCCAATAGTGCATTTTTTTCCCTCTCTCCTTCTTCTGGTGACAATGATTCACATCTTATAACCAGGAGGTAAACAAGAGATACAAGGATGAGAGCATTTCGTACATGACGATTCAACCTATTTCCTGACCTTATTTTGGGTGGTAACAGTGGTGTTGAAATCGTTGTATTGGGTGATGGTGATGGTGATGGTGATGGTGGGGGAAGCACAAATTGGACCATGAGATTATCTCCACCTCCTTCTCTCCCTACTTGGTCAACAACAGCTACACACAGTTCCGAACGATTGCATATGATGGTACGTAGTTTTAAGTTGTATTCTCAGCGTCTTCCTGGCACGATCAATTGTCTGATTGTATAATCAACAACTCCTTTTCTTTTCTTTTCTTTTCCTTTTCTTTTCTTTTCCTTTCCTTTTCCTTTTTCTTCTGTTTGTTTTTGGTCTTCTTCCTTTTTCTTCTGTTTGTTTTTGGTCTTCTTCCTTGAGTTTGGGAGAGGAGAGTGCACGAGGTTGGGGGTCAGCTGTCGAAAGAGGAAAGTTTGCATGTCTTTTGCCAAAAATACCGCATAAGGGAGACTTGGTACTTGCAACCTAAATAAAAATTTCTAAGTATAGGGTGATTAATATATGGTTAACATTCTTTTTTGAAAGACAAGCTTGTTTCAACTAAAATACTTGTATTTGATAACAATTAGGATACAACCGGTGGAAACTATGAGGAAAATATTTTAATTTTTTTTAAAACTAATAATAGTTAGTAAGTCTATCATTTTCATCATTTGGTATGTGTCAATCAATTTTCATAATATTTTTGTACCTGTCTAGAAAAAATTATAATAATGGTTATCTACTTTTGTTGAATAAAAAAATTAAAATACTTTTAGAAATTTATTTTGAATGGGTTTCGGAATATAATAATAATAATAATAATAATAATAATATATTTTTGTTGAATAACAAAATTAAAAGATTTTTAAAGAAAAAAAAATATTTTGAATGAGTTATATATCTAACCAAACATATTTTAATATTTTTTTAATTAATCCATGTACTCCAGGTGATTTAACTATATATATATATATA